TGAAGAAATTTCCAGGTAGAAAAAAAATTTTTCTTCGTTCGATTCATCTAATAAACTTGGATGTATAAAAAAAAGCCATTCTGACTCTTCGTCGTCAGAAATATGATTTAAATAAAAAAAAATGTTTATTTTCGTAACTACAATTCGATTCTTCGCTTGCAAAAAAAAAGAAAACCTGTTTAACCGATACTCTACAGTACAAATACCAAAAAAAATTTGTACTCGTCTATAGCGTTATTTGTACTCTGCGAAGTAAAAAAAAATAATAAATAGACAATGTTAACACAGAACGACGTAGCAGCCTCGTGCGAACTATTTGACAAAAGTGTACACTCAACGCCAAATATCAAAAAAAAGTGGGATACGGGGACGTGGGACTTGGGAGGTAGGACTCGAAAAAAAAGGACTCGGGGACGTAGGACTCGGGGACGTGGGACGTCCCAAAAAAAAGAGTCTACCTCAATAGCCCTAGGCTAGTTCCATGTTTGAAGTCTCGAAGTACATGTTTCATGGTCTCGCGTGCTCTTCAATCTTGAAAACTCTTCAAGGGCATAACATAATGCTGCTGTATGCTTGCATGATGAAAAAAAAGCCTTTCCAGCTGGACACTGACAGCTTGCAAATACTAGTAAAAAAAAATTTATCATCGAAAGTTTGACCTGATATTTAATGTTCTTAAAAAAAACTGGCAGGCAATCGCATTTTACATGGGCTTTATCAACATAAAAAAAATATTCGATTTTTTGTATATGTCCGTGTTTGAATTATCCAAAAAAAAAGTTGTTGACGTTTTTATAGTCCTTGTTAGCGTCTTTATCGTTTGCTTTCCGTTCAATGAAATACGTCACAATGTCTTGAACACTGAAAAAAAAAAAGTCATTCTTAGCTTGGATTAACGGGATCCATGCTGCCAAAAAAAAAAACTCGTAGTGTTGATTGCTGCTGCTTGGTTCTGACGTAAAAAAAAGTGAGGTTGATGTCAGGTGAGACCACTTATCTATCCAATAAAAAAAACAGCCGTTTTTTAAATAACTTGTAACCCTGGAAAATTAGAATGATCTGAAATTAACATATGATAAACATATGAGGTTAAGAGGGTAAAAAAAAACATCAGTGAACGATGGCAAATATTGTTGTGGTGAAGCGTAAAAAAAATTGAAGCAGCACGGCTTTCGTGCCGTCGGACGAAGCACTAAAAAAAATTGCCGTTCCTTTCCGAAATGACAGCCATTCTTTCAATCAAAAAAAAGTGATGCCAGGACAATTACCACTAAGAATTTTAACCTTTAAAAAAAAAGAAAAAAACGCAGATTCCAGAGTTATATTGTCAGACATAAAAAAAATCTGGTGTTTCTCGAGAAACGTTGACCTGATAGCCTCGTCCTAAAACTGTAACTCTGCTGACCTTTTGAATTGCAGACACAAATGCAAAAAAAAACAGTCATCTTTACGCGTGTTGAATTCTGTATGAAGTTAAAAAAAAAGAGTCATACTTTCTTTCCACGAGTCCTGGGTCGGGAATAAAAAAAAACAGTCTTTTCAGCTTCTTCAAATTCAAGATGGCGGCCACAAAAAAAATAGTGTTCCTTAATTGCCTTTCATGTTCGCGCAAAAGTAACAGGTTTCTTGGGGTTTTTACTCGAAATTTCAGTGATGCAAGAACTAAAAAAAATCGTAAATCCTCAAGGTAAAATGTTTCTGTAGTAGAACCGTCAGTTATTGTTGTAGTACAGACGTCCATGACTTGCATACAAAATGGCAACATGCAGTTCTCGATCCAGTGCAAGTGGTCACTTCATCAATGTAAAAAAAAATGCCTATTTCGCTTAGTTAGCTGCTAAATTATTATTTAAAAAAAAAAATTTTTTTCTGAGCGTTTTTTTTTTTTTTTTTTTTTTTAAAAAAAAGCAGAACACAAAGTTGCAATGGGGCTAAGCATATGATTCAAAAAAAAATGTGCTCGTCACGATCAGCATTGTAAGTACCGAAAGATAAAAAAAACTGAATCATACATGCTTTTTGATTGGTTCTCACCCATGATCTATCAATGGATGGATGCATAGATGATGTTACCAATTACAGTATTTAAAAAAAAGGATTCTATGTGGCCTTGGGTCTTTGCATTAATAGATCAAAAAAAAAATCAAAATGCGTGACTTCTCCTCTCATGTGTCAGTTTTTAAAAAAAAGCCACATCATCTGCTGTAAGTCATTGAACAGACAAACAAAAAAAAAAACTAGTTCATGATGACCATTTGGTATGATATCAAATGCAAAAAAAAATTAAGAAAACATAAGAAGTTCATCTGGCATCACAGATCAAAAAAAAATCTGGCTGAACATTAATGGTCGAGCTATTTTTAGTCCAGAAAAAAAAGAGTGATTTTTTTTGTAGGTACCATGACAGCTGAGGAAAAAAAAAAACTGTCAAGGTTATTTTTCTAGCTGTAAAAGAATGTATGAAAAAAAAATACACGACTCAGGAAGTCAGAGGGCCAATAACTAAAATCAAAAAAAAAAAATGCTCTATTGCCGGTCAATATTCTCTCAGTATTGGAAAAAAAACTGTCCGGAATGGTCCTGAATGGTACCGCACTTGTGTCCAAAAAAAATTCAGTCATGTAATAAATCTCTTATTAACCAAACTTGCTAAAAAAAATACTGGAAGAATATCGGCCCTCGGTCTTTTAAGTACAGAAAAAAAAACGCTCGGTCCATACTGTCAAAACCTCAGACTGATATTCTAAAAAAAAAGCCCTCGCACTTGGTTAATAAGATATATTTAAATATAGAAAAAAAATTTTCAAACTTGTCTCCAGAGATATGCTGTTTCATATGTAAAAAAAATCAATCTCCATTCTCTTCATTTGTCTTACAACAAGCCACAAGATCATGGCTACTGCAATTTAAATTATCAAATGATCAATCCTCTTTTTTGGTGGAGGGCTCATTGGTCAGCCGCATTTCCTCATGTATGTAAAATAATATAAACCCAGTTATGTATTTCAGTTGCATTAGGTGATGTACACATTTAAGATTATTTTTGTCAAAGGGAAAATCACAAATAGCTCCAAAGTTACCTTCCAAAATTGAAGAAAATGCTTGTCCTACAGCCTGAATTTCAAAATTTTTGAGGGGAAGCATGCCCCAGACCCTCCTTGTAGGGAAGTGCCTGCAGCACATTTAACAGGGCCTTCAGTCTAAATTACTCTCCTGTAAAGTTCACATTTTTGCCTGTGTGTAAAATTCTAGCTACATCTCCTTGGTCGCCATACTTTACATTATCCTCTTGTTTTCACTGTACTTCATGAGACCCTGAAGGTACCATCCAAGTTCTTAAATTTTTCTCGTCGCACATGCTGAAAAGCATTTTTATTCCAAGAAGATATTGTATAAGTTTTTGCAACCTTAATACTAGCATTTCTTGCACATGTTGTCCTCAGTACACTCCTAATCAACATTTAATTTTATGTCAAATGTTTTCAGACCTATCAAATTGTTTGCTTACATGTACTTCCAAGACACTTCTTGTTTTGTGTGTTTTAAAAAAAATTTGGAAATTCAATCAAGATCTCATAGATGTAGATGAAAAAAAAAAAATTCCAACAGTAAAATGATTCTGACAATGGAAATTCAACAAAAAAAAGTCAGAATGAAATACTGAAGCAGTTCTACCCTTTAAACTAAAAAAAAGTACCTTCAAGTTATTCCTTTTTAACTCTCGTTAAGATTAAAAAAAAAAAATCCACAGAAATATAATGGACATTGATGAAAAGGTTAAAAAAAACCAAGCCGCAGATTCTCATATGACTTCCTCAATGTTTGACAATGAAGTTGTCAAGTAAGTACAGTATATCACTTATCTGCTGAATAAAAAAAAATTATAATCTCTAGACATTTCCTTTTAAGTTTCCAGAGATAAAAAAAATGTACCAATTGAACATTGCCCTTTCTTATGTCTAACGCAAAAAAAAATCTCACCTGTTTTATGGTTCCAGTGTGATGTTCTAAGATAAAAAAAACATTTATTATATGGCTGTGTCTCACAAGGAACTACCGAAAAAAAAAATTTGATTGGCTAAAATCAATATTGAAAGTGGTGTAGATTAAAAAAAATAGACCGGTCTAGAAAAAAAAGGTACAAAGAATATAAAAAAAAAAAATATAAGACACAGCCATATAATAAACATCTTATTAACCGAAAAAAAAAGGTCTGTCTGTGAGAATCTTGACCTCGGTCGCTGGTACAGACCTCACTGCGTTTGGTCTGTACTGGCGACCTCAGTCAAGATTCTCAAAAAAAAACCTCCTGCTTGGTTGATGAGAACTAAGTATTAATCACTAAAAAAAAATCATAGGATTAGGCTGTATCATCTTAATTTACTTTTCTAAAAAAAATTTGTACTGTCCTTGCCACAGAGTTCTAGGTTGTATATAAAAAAAAATGTATCATTTTGTTTAGAAACTATTCTTTGCTTCTGAGCTATGAGGGATAGGACAATGCTCTGAGGTGGACTCCAAGGCATATGTAAAAAAAAATGTACCTGATTGCTCAACTGTGCAGCATTTTTTCAAGGGAAAAAAAAATTCAACTTTGTGGACTAATTGAATAAAAATGAATATTAAAAAAAAAAATGTATTCTTTTTTTTCCCATCACTATCATATTAAAGCAAAAAAAAAAAACTTAGAATGACTGATCTGTCCTAACAATTTAGACTAAAAAAAATAAAAGCACTTCTAGTTTTTACTCTCCACTTTTTAAAACAAAAAAAAGCAAATTTGTGAATTGCATGATGTGGGATGGCAAGAAGTAAAAAAAACAGAAAATTTTTAAGTTGGTAAGTTACAGGTTATTGAATAAAAAAAATATACCCTTCAAAAATTGTACTATAAATTGGTAAATTTTAAAAAAAACATCTGCTACTACAATATTACATTTTATGTTAAGGAACTAAAAAAAAACTGATTTTGAACACCCAAAAAGAAATGTATATAATTGTAAAAAAAACAGTGAACTGATTAGTTAAATTTTACCAATTAGGAGCCTTCAAACTCATTTACAGTATATGTTTGATCATTTGTATAATTCTATGGAAAAAAAAGCATGATCCATGTACATATCACAGTTTATTTCCTAAGGTAAAAAAAAGTTTGCTGTATTAGATCCCAGCAGGTTTAGAGGGGTTGAAAAAAAAAAAGTCCCTATTCACCCACAGAGGTTTATATATATTTCAAAAAAAAAAGTTATCAGGATTAATCTCCAAAAACTTTTTTTTGATTGAAAAAAAAATTCCCAAGATATGCCGCCTCGATATTCCTACATTCACTTAAAAAAAATTTTAGACGAATCAGGTGTATTTGAGCAACCACGCAGTGAGTCGGCATTTTCACTTCATTTTACAGCAATAGACACATGCTCTTATAAAAAAAATTAACATTCGTTCTTGCTGTGACGTCACTCAGCCCAGTAAAAAAAAACCCGCCAAGTCAAAAGGGCGTGGCCAAAAGAGTGAGTTTGAGGCAGCATATCTTGGGAAATATTTAATCAATCGCAAAAACTTTTTAAAAAAAATTAATCCTGATAACGATAAAAAAATAAACCTCTGAGGGTAAAAAAAAACTCTAAAGAATCTGTGGCTTGTGTGATAGCTGTAGATTAAAAAAAAACACACAAACCAACATTCTGTTACAGCTACATATAACTTAAAAAAAATCCTTTTATTCAAGTTTTGGTTGTACAGGTAATTTCTCAAAAAAAAAATTACTAATTATTGTCTGAACCATTCAACTTTTACTTACAAAAAAAAGAAGAAATCAAGAAGGAACAATTGAAGAAGTCAGTTTCTAAAAAAAAGACTTTTACAGAATAAACAATCAAACAGTAACTTCATCAAAAAAAAATTTGCAACACTTCCAAAAATCATTGCATTAGTCAATGTATTATTACTTCATCTTTTCTCTGAACTTTCAAGTATCTGTAGACATCCAATGGATGTGTGTATGCCATCTCCCTGAAAAAAAGAACACCTGTGCAAAAAAAAACTCTAAAAATGAGCACCTACATGTTCAAACAATATTGTCAAAAAAAATGAAACTGAGAATGCTGTGAACATCAGAAATATAAGATTAAAAAAAATCTTTTGTTTCATGGAAAAAATCAGTTGGGTATCACCGTAAAAAAAACAGTAAACTCTAAACATCATCACTGGTGACTTTGAGGAGAAAAAAAATTTACTGACAAGAAGCCAATCAAAGTGGTCATGGTTTTCAAAAAAAATCACACTCAATACTTTGCAAAAGATAAAAAAATTGCTGTCCTTTTTGTATCTGAAATGTGGTAGCTTGCAAGGACTAGTGTTCTTCAAAAAAAAAAGGTATCAATCCAGTTATATTGTCTCTGGTTTCCATATAAAAAAAAAAATTTATTATTGCACTTTTTTTTTAAGTTTTCCCACATAAAAAAAATGTGGCTTGGAGAATAAGACTGTGTGGACTAGTGTGCGCATGATGTCATCCTGACTGGATGTTTCAATAAAATTAAGGCAGCAAGTAAAAAAAACTATTTTTTTTTATTATTTTTTTTTTTTACATAGGCAAAAAAAAAAATCCCAACCTGACTTGGTAGAAACAGATCCATTGCAAATTTTTCTTGATGCGATTGAGAATTCCAAGCCCATCATAGGAGTAAGAGCAAAAAAAAAAGGGGGCAACATGTACCAGGTGGGGGCATAGATTACAAAAAAAAAATCTTTGAAGCAATGGTTCATTTGCCAGTTACCATAGCACAAAAAAAACACTACCATGACAACATGAAACCTTAACTTTGTGATACAAAAAAAAAAAGTAAAGCCTACCCCTCAAGATTGCAGTAATGAATTGAAAAAAAAAATATTGAACTCACTTGTGAAAATTAGAATTAAATTGACAAATTAAAATGAATGAAAATTAATCAACCAAGTATTTGAATATTGAAAAAAAAAAACATGTTTGTTTTGAAATGGCACAGATGTTTGTTGAAATCAAAAAAAAACTTCTGATTTGAACAATGATCAGCATGTTATTAAAATGAAAAAAAATATCTGGTTCAAAGTTCAAATGATCGGTTCATTCTTCAGAAAAAAAATCTCGAAGAGGCGATGGTTAGCACACAGGGCAGGCAGGGAAAAAAAACGCGTGGCTGTGAAGCCCGAACCTGGAGTGGCAGTCCCTAAAAAAAATTGCAGAGACGTAGGTAGATGGGGCACGTGTAGAGACGGAAAAAAAATTTCTTGCCACTGTCTTCAATATGGCCATCCTCCTCCTCAAAAAAAACCATCCTCCTCAGCTCTTGAGGCTCCAGCTTTGACACTGAAAAAAAAGGTGTCACGATCGATAGCAGTGTCCTTCAGGTGGTTGCAAAAAAAAAAGCTGCTTTGAGGTTGCGCTTTATGGTGTCTTTGAAGTGCAGCAGAGGTCTGCCGGCTCAACGGGCGGGGTCATGCAGTTCTCCGTAAAAAAAATCGCGTGGTAGATGCTGAGGCACCATGCGTTGGACATGCAAAAAAAAACGGAGGCGTCTCTGAATGAGCAAAGAAGGTATGCTCAAAAAAAAAACACGCTGAAGGATCAGTTCCTTAATGTACAGTAATTATGAAAAAAAACTTCACTTGGTTTGACTGTAATATTTGGTTTTGAAAAAAAAAAAAAACAAAGAATCATCTAGTTTCCTGTCTGTACAGATAGGAATAAAAAAAATCAACTTTTTGATGATTATAACGGTCTTCTGATACTATAAAAAAAAATATAAGTAAGGCTCAATAGCTAGCCAATGTTCAAAAATTAAAAAAAAGACCAGAATAATGAGACAATTGGAAGTCGCACATGCCTGAAAAAAAAGTTACACCTTTTCCAAGAGTTTGCATCACTTTCACTATTAAAAAAAATTACTTCTCAAACAAGTGGCGATAGTAAGTTCTAAATGGAAAAAAAACTCCAGCAAAGAAAATCAGCAGTTAGAGGGTACTGTATGAAAAAAAAACACCAACTACAGTTAGTTATGCGTTTTGCTAGACATCTAAAAAAAACCTTTGTCAAGGTCCTTTGTCAGTTGCACATGGCAACAGAAAAAAAACTACCCTCACCTCCCCAGTAGGGTTTGACATACCACTGAAAAAAAAAATTGTCTATGCCTTGTAAGTTTAACCAGAAATCTGAAAAAAAAAAAAAGTGTGGGTTGATTTCATCCATGTTAATGTACACATAGAAAAAAAAACGTAAAGTCTGTCATCATGCAAAACAGTATTTGCTCTTTGATGTGTACTCTTAATTTAGCACTTCTTATTCTTGTAGGGTTTGTAAACACCTGCATCTATCCTTTTTTCATTTCATACATACTCTAAGTTGTAAAAAAAAATCTGTAATTCTCAGGTGCCAACCCCAATCAACCAACGGCAAAAAAAATTTTTGGCCATCAAATGGCTTATTACAGCTGCTCGGGAACAGCAAAAAGGCAATGCTCGAATGTACAAGAAACTCGCCAAGGAGCTGCTGGATGCTTACAATAATGAGGTGGGAGGCCGTTTTGATTTCAAGCGTGCTGCAGTTTACAGGGGCGTATTTTTGCTTTTATTATGGTCGCATAGTCACGTTAACAGAGATTAAAGAAAACTTCACATATTTGATTTCCAAAAAAAAACTCTTGAGTTTAAGGTGGTGGTATAGTGTATTTCATAAGAAAAAAAAAACATCAATCATTAATAACATAAATAATTAAAACATCATAAAAAAAATTTTCAAAAATGATGCTTAGATATTACCCATGTCAGTGAAAAAAAAAAACAGAGTTGGAAAAGGGCTTTAGGTACCCAACTAGGGAAAAAAAAAAATCTCGTTTATTGTATATATACACTGTATTTAGAAATTAAAAAAAAGTAATACTTTTTATTGGCCTGAATAGATTTACCCCAACGAAAAAAAAATTAATCCTAACTGTATCGTCTTGAAAGCAAAATTGTGTAAAAAAAACAGATGATTCAGGTGCTACTTGTAGATTTGACACCAAATAAAAAAAATTAATATTTATTAAACAATTCAAGTTTGGAGTTCATTTAAAAAAAAAAAAGTTGATGGTTTAAAGGAAGCAGGAATATTTTTAATTAAAAAAAAAAAGAACCCATGTGATTCGAATACAGCTCGGCCTCTTTTAAAAAAAATTGCAAATATTATTGTTATTATTATTATTATTTTTGTAAAAAAAAAAGCTGATACCGTTCTTTCATAAAGTAGGCAAAATAACATTTGGAATGTACATGCAATTGAGAGTTTATTTATTTATTTTTGTATTCAGGGCACTGTCATGAATAAGAAGCACGAACTACACAAAAGAGCGGAAGACAACAGGGCTTATGCACACTATCGGTGGTGGTAACACTGTACAACAAAACACTGTTGAATGCCACGACTTTCCCTCTTTTTGCCTGTTTTTTTAAAAAAAATGTTTCCGCAGAGAACTTACTGCTTGGTTGACATGCGCAAAAAAAAAACGTTGTACTTTGTAACCCCAAAAGTATTAGTCATGAAGAAAAAAAACGATTTTATTCTGTAATCAGAAACCCCTCCCGTATTGTGTATAAGGTTATGCTGTATTGGAAGTTTGTAGTCAACTTAATCATCTTAAAAAAAAGTCATCGGTTGTTTATGTTTCATTGTAATGTGACTCAGTAAAAAAAACCTCAAGCAATGTGTTGCATCTGCCTTGACTATATTGCAAAAAAAAAATTTTGTGGTCAAGCGAGGTTCTGCAGCAAATGTTTTAAAAAAAAAAGGTATGTAGAATACGAGTTTTTGATCCACTGGCTTATCCAAAAAAAATTATCGGCCAAGGTGGAATTTGGGCAACGGGATGTGGAAAAAAAAAATGTACTCATAACAAAAAGTTGTCAAACTTCTGCTCAACAAAAAAAAACTCCGCTGTGTCCAGTCTATGCCTTGATGATTGCTAAGGAACTCTTTAGGTCTTTATTGAATATAAAAGTAAAAATACATACCTATATTTACATGTTTAAATTATTACTTAAAAAGTTAAAAAGCGGAAGCATATTTAGAATACAGTCTATTGATATAACTAGCTTTGAAACGTTCTGTGTTGACACAAGGTAGTAGGCTTGTTTGAGTTTTCAAACGTTTGGAAGATTCTTTAACTTTGGGCAAAAAATTGTGCAGCGGATGAGTAGGCAGGCAGCTAATCCTCTTTGAGATTGACCAATCTGTTTTCTCAAGAAAATCATATATATATATAAAACTGCGTTTATGACATCTACGAAGGAACCGCTCAAAAAAAAGCGAGCTTGTGTACTTTGATTAGGGCTGTTACACTTGCTAAAAAAAATTCTTTCTTTTTCTTCCTGTTATTCATCTAGCTCTTTCTAAAAAAAAGTTTTTTGGAAAGAATGCGTAAAACCTCCGAATCACGAAAAAAAAAAGAAAGAGTCTGGTTAACATAACCATATAATCAGTTGAATAAAAAAAAATAGTTTCGAAAGAAACTGTTTGGGGCTGCGTCGGTGGGAAAAAAAAAATAATTTGGATATATCAACAAAGTTGAAGTGGTAAATTAAAAAAAATAACGATTACAAAAGCTGACGTTTCCAGCGTTAGCCCTTAAAAAAAAACATCAGGTATTGTAATCGTTACGGTGGCCAATATACCAAAAAAAAATTGTTGATATATCCATATAATCACTTGTAGCTGTTTAGGAAAAAAAAATCTCCTGAAACTCAGCGTAATACTATGGAATCTCCTAAAAAAAAAACAGATGAATGATATCGAATTCATTCTTTGAGCCGTCTATAAAAAAAAGAACGAGAGGCATTTGTATTGGAGCCATTTTGCAGTTGAAAAAAAAACTTTCTGGCTTGATCTTAAAATAGTCAACGTTCCTCTGCAAAAAAAAGATCTTTGAATTGTCAATATTTCCGCGAGCCGAGTGTGTAAAAAAAAGTCGGTTATTTCTTAAAAAGTTCCTGTTTACCTTTTCCAAAAAAAAATCGCATATACGATCACTTAGATTATGTGTCGTTTGAATAAAAAAAAACAGAGAGGACCATTGAAAATCATATTTTGCGCATTTGGGAAAAAAAATGGTTATTATTTCGCTATTCATGGTGATATATAACCAAAAAAAAAAAATATTCCGTAACGGTGACTTCGTATAATGGAGACCACACAAAAAAAACTCTTCTGATAATTTTCTGTCTGGAATGAAGCTTGTTACCAAAGCAAAGAATTCTCGATAGAGCTACTATTGGATGTATTTCATTTAAAAAAAAAGTCACATGAGCCTTTTGCCTGAATTGTTGGGTCCGATGAAAAAAAAAAACACCTAGCCTAGGACCCAACCACGTTACAAGAATTGAAAAAAAACTTTACTTACAATGTCTTTGTTTCCACAAAGGCCTCGAAAAAAAAAAGCCCCTGTAGCTCAGATAAGGCTATGTGTACAAGAAAAAAAAAAAAATATCTTAAAATGATAAATTTGGTCAATTTTTCCCTGAAGAAAAAAAATTTTAAAGTAGTGGATTCCGATTTATAGACTTCCTGTACAAAAAAAAATTGACGAATATAGAGGGCATATTTTCTGAAACTAATCCAAAAAAAAAGACAGAAAGGGAGAAAAACACCGGAACAGATTTATGTTAAAAAAAAAACCAGCGATAGTCAAGCGGCGTGAGTGAGGGAATGTATAAAAAAAACACTAAAACAGGTTTTACAGCCTTGAAGTATCCTATAAGCAACGTTAATGTGATAGCGCTTTTCTTGTAATGGGTCAACTATCTTTCTGCGTGGTTGGATGCTTATTTACCATTTTCCGCCAGCAGAGTTAGTTAAGTGTTTATGTATTGTATTTTATTTTGCGTGCGAGTCACACGAGATTTTTGCTTGAATTTTTGGGGCTGATGAACTATCAATGTAAGGCTATTTCTACTCCAAACACCTAACCTCAGTGCCCAACCACGTTACAAGAATTGTTTTTTCATCCGATACTATCGTAAGTCAAGTTTGAGATAACGTTGGATTTGTCTGCAGAGAAAAAACGATTTTCAGCTCGAAACATGGTAACTTTACTGAATCATCAAGAACTGAGGGAGCACTGGAGATCAGACTTTTACTCATTTTGGACAATCTTCGGCCATTTCTTTCTCCAGAGCAAGTTACCCCAAAAGCAGATCATTGTTCCTCAATGTCGGTAGAAAATTTCGTCTGCCATAGTTACAGCTGATTGATTAGCACACGATATTCCACCCAAGTCTCAACACTTTAATTGCAAGTAAACACAGTTGAGAGCTGAAGTGAGTCCTGATAGCATATTCGATCACATTTAGATTTAAAACACTAGGTATGATAATAATAACGGAAATAGCTAGAATGATAAATTTGTCGAAAGGGAAAAAAAAAAAGGCGCATTTATGTGCGTGATGGAGACTTTTTGTCATTACAAAAAAAAGTTGTTTCGAGTTGTATCTGGTTGATGGTTCAACGATCGAAAAAAAAGAATCAAATGAGAGGGTCCAAGGGTTCTTGATTCTCATGAAAAAAAAGAGCCAGCAGTTGTGTTCCAACCAATCATGCCAGTGCATAAAAAAAATTACCATTATCATACATGGTATACCCTTGGACTCTATCCAAAAAAAACCAGAACATGATATTCTTGATTTGAAAAATAGCATTCACAAAAAAAATCTCAGTAAAGTGATAAAGAACCCGTAAGTACTAAAAGAGGGAATGACCTAAAACCACCTACAACCATCTAAAACCACCTAAAACTACTGGGGGCCCAGACAAGCGACGAGTCTGGTTGTTTGTTCGAAATATAAAGAAATGTATGGGAGAATATTGAAGAGTCTTATTATCGTAAACTTATATCATGAAATGTCTGAGTTAAAGCTCAAAATAAATGTAAAGCTACCTCCAAATCGCTCAAGTTCGCCATTTACAGCCACGGAAACGACAGCAAGTGAGGTAGGTTTACGTTTATTTTGAGCTTTAACTCAGACATTTCATGATATAAGTTTACGATAATAAGACTCTTCAATATTCTCCCATACATAAAAAAAAATTTCGAACAAACAACCAGACTCGTCGCTTGTCTTGGCCAAAAAAAATTTTCCCTGCTCATGACATGCGAGACATGCGACAACATTTCCGGTGTGCATTTACATTATCACAAATTGTCAAACAATAGTATTCTAAAAAAAATTGTAGGTGGTGGTTGTGGTTGGTTGTAAGTGGTTTAAGATGGTTGTAGGTGGTTTTAGGTCATTCCTTCTTTTAGTAATTACGATAAAGAACCAACTCGCCAGCCGAAAACATTGATAAAAGTCTTAGCATGAAAAAAAACTTGATTCGTGTAATAATTATGCAGATTTCATTTATGCAAAAAAAAAAGTAATCGCTTAAAAAAGCATGTTTCGCTCAGCCGATTTCTCGAAAAAATCTCGAAACATCCTTATAGTTTCTCATTATTTTGTTGAAAAAAAAGAACCACCTCTCGAGGATGTTACGAAAAATATATGCCATAAAAAAAAGGAACACAATGAATATAAGATTGTGTCTATCGTTTGCCCAAAAAAAACGAGTGTATCTGTTACCAAAATTAACTTCTAAGCGGCGTTTAGAAGACTATACTTGTAAAGCGAAAGCAGGAAGACTGAAATATCGCCTGAAGGAGACACTATACTGCTTAAAACTCCGACGCTTTGGCAAAAATATTATTTCTTTAAATACTAGTGAACTAACTGAAAATATAATGTTCAAAAAAAATTTGCATCGAGCGAAAGCAGACAAATTTTGCAATACGTAAAAAAAAACCTAAAAAAATGGAGGAAAGACGGTGGCTACAACAATTTAAAAAAAAAACTGTGTTGAGTGATGTTCATAGTAGATAGCTACTAAGAAAAAAAATCTGAAAGGTAATAAAAGTGATAAAATATGTTTGTGACGGTTTCTACAGCATAATTCATCGTTCTACTTTGCGTTTTCGGGGAAAGAAAAAAAATGTTCCATTTTGGTTTCGGTTGGGCTATTATTGCATATCAAAAAAAATCTCTGCGGCGATTTATTTTGGTGCAGATCGTCTGATAAAAAAAAAAATTTTTCGCGATGCTCACCCTGCACTGTTTGCCATAGAAAAAAAAAAGACACACCAGCATTATAATACAGTGGAACCTCGATTTAAAAAAAAAATAAGGGACTGGAGAAATTAGTTCGTTATATCGAGGTTCTAAAAAAAACATTTTACTGGAACTTTAGCTAGGCTGAAACTGAAGTATAAAAAAAACTACCGAGGACTTCGTTATTTATAGATTCGTTAAATCGAAAAAAAAATGTATTTCATTCTATATTTTACCACTGATAACTTGTGTAGTAAATGTGTTTTGAAACAATTTTAAACGCTACTGTTTGAACTAATTAAAAAAAAGAGA